AAGGCCAATTACAGACAGAGCACAGTGTAGATAAAAGTGGTTACATACTGGACAATTACAACATAGTCGAAAACAAATTAAAGGTAAACATAGGAGGAAAACACATTAATGCATATAAGGAAAAAACAATAATAATAATAATAATAATAATAATAATAATAATAATAACTTAATGGAATGTGCATCGCCCTTTCGGGCCTCTGAAACATTTTCCTCCACTTTCTTCTTGGCCTTCCTATGTCTAGTCTATCAGACAGGTGTTATTTATGTGCTTCGAGTGTATTGCGAGTCTGTTCCTGGCTTTGAAAATTTATTTATTTATTTTATTCTTGAAAATTTCCATGTAGATACAAAATACACAACTCAAATCGTACATCCTCAGTCATTGATTAATTTGCCCTAGCGCAGCCTTTGACAGTTCTGCTTCTTCAGTTGTATTCCATTCTCTCTTCTTCAGCGACCACATTTCGCTGCCACAGAAAAGCACTGGGACTCTTATAATCTGAAATAATTTAAAAATTTCCCCCTCTTAGTTTTTGTTCTTAGCGCTCTTGAAATTACCCCACATGCGCTTTGAAATGTGTTTATTATCTGATTAGATCTTTGTCATATGAAGATCTAATAGACCGCCTCTGTGGTCTAGTGGTCAGAGTTCCTGGCTAGAGTTCCTGAGGTCCCGGGTTCGATTCCCGGCACTATCAGATTTTCTGAAAAGTAGTGGGTATGGAACGTGGTCCACTCAGCCTCGTGAGGATACTTGCGGAGCTACTTGAATGGAAAAGTAGCGGCTCCGGTCTAGAAAACCGAAATTAACAGCCGTGGGGATTCGTTGCGCTGACGACACGACACCCTCTCTCCGCTAAAATTTGGTACTAACTTCACCAACAAGCGGCGGTCGCTCGGTCGGTATAGTTCGCTTGCGGAGTAAAACCACGGATTTTGTTGTTTGTTTTGATCTTCATACATCATACACAATTAAGTCTTCACTGCCGTCAGATTGGTACCGTTAACTTCGGTGCTAACGATGTGCTAAGTTGTGGCAGCCTCCTATGACATGGCATTATATTCATACCGAGTTTTGTTAAAATCGAATGATTATTGCTTGCGACTGAATCACGGAGCGGGAATGTACGTTCATGACCTTAAAATGGACGCAAAGAGAGCGTCCTCTCATCACTCAGAACCCTAGACAGGAGTAAGGTTCCTGGTTTAACACATGTTGAACACTGAGCACGGCCTGGGGCAATGGACCAGTCAGCTGATGAATGTTTAGTGACACGTTATGTAATCGTGGAGCAGGGGGGGGGGTCCATGTACTCACTCGAATTATCCCCCGTGCATAATGAAGTTCTGTGTACAGACCGCGCAAGGAAGTATTAATCTCTGTTCATGCTTATGTGGTCCTGGCAAATCGTGTATAAGAAAAATCCCGTCTGTCTTTCCGTAAGTATTGTCTGCAAAACAACTGATTGGATTTTGATTAAATTGTGTGCTGGGTGTCACCGAAAGTTTCTAACTGCAATAGACAAATATAAATAACTTATAGGCACGAAATCGCAAAGATTGCGTTGGGGAAATGCTGTACTACACTCTCTCCGCACTTTACAGAATCGAATTAAAGGATCTCCCACGTGAAGACCAAATATTAGCAGATATATCTGTGACCGAATTCCTATTACCGGCAACCTTCCTTCGACGGATTAAACTCTTTAGCCTGTTTCCATTTGAGAATAAATTTGTAAGTTTTCAATGTTAATCCTTCCAGTTGCACTAGACCCTGAAGTTCACTCAGCCTCTAACAGAAATGAGTACCAGGAATTAATTAAATAATTTTCCTGGGGAGTAAAGCGCGGCCGGCGCGTAAGGCTGACAACCTTACCGTCATCTTTAAGCCGATTGTCTAGATAATGTTGGACCCTCAACGTCTCACAACCTTATGGGCCTTCACGGCCTGGTACAGGAATAACTTTACGTTTTTTTACAGAGAGGTGGTAAGATTCCTTGGACTGGTGAGCAGTCGGTCGCAATTCCTCCCATCTGCACAGGAAAACACAGAAAAAGAAAGCAAACATCCATGTATCGAGTGGTATTCGAAACCATGGTCCTCGTATTCGAACGTCGAAGACATATCTTGCCTTGGACCTCACGGTCACTGAAATGTTTCTCGTTATATTTGTAATTTTCAGCAAGATAGAAACGTAACTTGTAGTTGAATTTGTTGCAGCTTTGGAATTGAAATGTAACACCTACAAAATTTTCATCATATTCTTTGCTCGTACAAAACTGTGAATTCAGATTTTTGTTAATGGAGAAAGAGAAAAATTTCATTACCTCAAAAAAATGTCACTTTCTGATTTGGGGGCCAGCGACTAGGCTGAGGGCCAGACGACAATGAAATCGAGTTCGATTCTCTGCCACGTCCAAACTGGCCCTTGGGCCCACCTTATCTCCTTTCCAATGAGCGCTACTTAAGATGCCAGGGCTGGGAGACAACCACTCACCTTCATGTAATGTAGAGGTTAAGAACCATGACACTTGGTATAATGAAACACAGGGACAACCTCTACTTTCATCATTTGGATTTCAGCAAAAAAATCTCCTAACTTTGGCTTAGTGTAAGTAAATGATGCTTACCACTGTTATAAACAATTGCTGGTGCAGAGCTGTTATCGACGAAATCTCTTTAATGTAGACATCATCTGTCCCCTTGTCATGACCAGCGACTTCCCTCATCGGTTTCCTTTCATGTCTTTAATTCGTAGTATATACGTAAGAAAACGAAGACCCAGGATGAGATGGCCAGACGATGTTGAGAACGACCTGAAGAAGATGAAGGCGAGAGGATGGATAGAGAAGATAAGGAATAGAGAGCCGTGGAGACTGGTTGTAGAGGAGGCCAAGGCACACCCAGGGCTGTATCGCCGAGTGGTAGGTAGGTAGTTTCTTAATGTACCTCCTCCTTCAATGTTAATGACATTTGCATGTTTTATTTATATGTTTCGTATGATTTTCGCAATAAAATTAATTATTTCTATAGCAACATTAACCGGCTGGTCTTTGTAATATACACGTAGTGTCTGTTATGAGATAAAAACTGCATACTTAAATGTTACTGCGAACAAATTCATGCTTCTGAAGGTTATCAAGCGATACGTCTTATCACCTACTCTGCTAGTCATACAGCGATCTTATCTGGCCGGTGTTCAGAGTAATGCCTTCTGTGACATGTGATGCAACAAAGTGTATGTTAAAATAATGGCGCAACGGTGCAAAATATTTTACTTTCAAACTTTACTTTTCTTATCTTCGGGTCAAAGATCTTTTGCAAATCGTTGTTCTAGTAACTTGAATATTCTTGCGTATATCGAGACCACGGAAAGCAGCCCCACGAGTGGTCATGACGGTGCTGCAGGCTTCCCGCCCTCTCTGCCTATTGCTCCATCTCCTCTTGACCCTTATCAACCAGCCTGCAGCGCTTATCAGCATTTGCGAGAACGGGACGGGCAAAACTACAGGAAGCACACGTAACGCAGAAGTGTTACAGTGGAAATAGAAAAAGGGAGGGAGTTGGTCCATGGAAATTCTTTCTGAGGCCTCAACCACATTCTGAAATCGATCCAGTTAAAGGGACTGTGTTCTTATTGCGTCTTAAGGTAGAGGAAGTTTTACACTTGCGCTTAAGCAGCACGCAAGAAAGTTTGTGGGGAGCAATAAGGTAAATTCTGCATATTTCACGTCTTGATATCAGATGCACATTGTTCTCATACGTTTTAGGTACATTGTATGTAGCCCTATTTATCAATATTTATAGTACGTAGTGGTTGAAAGTTACGCTGACGTTGTCCCTGTGTTTAATTACTTAAGCACTATGCCATGAAGACATACGGGAGACTGGAGGTACAGCTCCGTCCTTCTTGAGCTTGGCAATGATGTTAATGAGTGTTTAGCTTCTCGCCCGTTCGCTTTACTCCGAGGAAATCTCTCCCAGCACCCTCTGGATAGGAGGCTGGGTCGACCCCGGAGCAAGTCTGGACACTGTAGAAAGGAGAACATTTTTGCCATGCCGAGGATCGAACCTGGGTCTTCCAGCCCGTAGCCCGTCGCTCTCTTCCTAATGATTATGAGTGAAGATCAATACAGGGTTTGCGTTGTTGGAACACCCGGGCTACATAGTTTGTACGCTTCACCAGAGGCTATTAGGCTTACCAAGGAGGAGCAGATGGGCGGGGCATGTAGCGCGTATGGAAGAAATGACAGATGCATATAAAATTTTGGTCAGAATACTTGAAGGAAAGAGATCACTAGAGGTAAGTTTCAGGATAATATTAAAACGACTTTCGAAGGTAGGACTCTTGTAAGGACCAAAATTAATCTTGGGGCTCCATAAAAGGCCGAAAATTTCTTTGCTAGCTAAGCCAGTGGTAACCTTTAGAAGAACACTCTGCTCTGTGGTGTCAGGTGATCGATATAACTTGTACAAATTGCGATTTTGTGTTTTGCAGTACGGCTTTTGTCGCGTGACGTATTTGTACTTTTCTTTTTGTCTAGTGGACAGTGAATATAGGATATTTTAAGGTGATGCTGGGGGTACTGTTTAAGCCGTTTTAAAATGGAAATTATACTAAGAGAATATCAGTACTATTTTCTAGATTGAATATGGTTAATAGATGACATTTTCCAATTACTTCTGCGAAAAGGCGTAATTACTGTATTAAATTCTATTCTTTATCCTAATGCATAACAGACTACTTAAATATTGAAAAGAAGAGTGCAAACTTTAGTGTTCTGTAACTGGAACATAGGGACACATCAGGGCGTTGCGTTTGTAAAGCGTCAGGGTGTGAAAGAGCCTCCACAGCACTCTAGAATATCAGAGATCAAACACTGGACCTCCTAGATATGAAAGAGGCGTAAGAATTATTTCACTGCACTGCGCCTTTCGGTCTGTCCTAGTAGACAGTTCGACTGCTGCGTATACACCATAACCTGCATGGCAGGGGCCGATGTGGCAACGTCGAAAGGACTCTGCTAATTTGAGGACTTCCTCAGTAATTTAGGTGGAAAAGTGAAACAGTTAAATGTAGTCAGTGGGTGCTAATCTTCAAGCTGCAGTGGTGTTTGTTCTGCATAACTTCTTCTAGTTCGGCGACACATGGAAACCGCTGAGGTAATTGAAAAAAAAAATGTGTTGCATTAGTTGAGACAAATGTTTTATATATGGACGTCAGACTTTGTCGCTCACTCTGTGGGGAGAATATTTTAGGGGTATTTTAGGACGGAAATACTGAGACAAGAGTTTGGACCTGTGAAAAATAAAGTGCCAAAGGACTCAACAATGTACGTATGTAATGGGGAACAGCACGTCAACAGCTCTCTTTTGTTATTGTTAGAGCGAGGAAATATTGAAAGATCAAATGTTTTGATTTGGTGAATATTTATTAAAATACACGAAATATTTTTTGTCACTCTGTCCAGTGCGACGTCAGCTGTTACTAATAGATTTGTTTGTATCACCAAGAAGTTAGTATCGTTGACAATGTAGTACAGAAAATAGCAACGAAAAGTTCTGGGAAGAACTGATCGCCTATTTTTCTTGATACGACATGGAACGCATAGAAGATGACGAGGCCAATATTATTATATTTAAGCATCCTGTAGTATTGAAGTTCCACTTATAGTCTATTTTAAACGGAATATTTGATAGATTATACGCGTCAAATAATTTTTCTATTGTTGCATGTGTATTCGCTGTCGTGATAACGAATTTACCTAGCCGTTGCCTAGCAACGATAAAGGGATACACACAGATGTGTGGGAGGGATTTATGAAGTATGCCGTTCAGGTGGGCTCAGGTGCTATGTTATACATACCAAGTTCCATAAAGACCGGTTTAGATGTTCAAAAGTTGATGGGGGAGGGGGTGAACAGACACAGACAGAGTGGTGATCCCATAAGCCTACTTTTTTTTTTTTTCAAAATGAGGTAAGTAGGCTAAAAAATGTGTTTGGAAAATACATGTACTCAGAACTGAATTACGAATATTATCTTCTTTTAGTACCAACTTATAGGTTAATGATGTACCCCGCTTTGCTGTCATTTGTATTCACAACGATGTCCAAACAGGAAAAGTGATTAACTGCATTAGGTTAAGATGACGTGGAACACTTTATAGTGTGATTGTTGTTATATTAGGCAATGACCTTGCAGACGACCACTGAAGTGTTGTTCAGAGAGCATTAACATATTCTGAAAACACAACCATCTCGAATTCCTTTGAATACACTTAAGTAATGAGAGAGCTATTTACAAGAGGTGGGTGTGGAGGTATGTTCGGTGTAGGTTGGTAAGTGAGAGACATCAAATAGCAAATAAATAATCATGGATGAACAAAATAGATCCGAAATAAGGAATTCTTATATACTGTCCAAGAATATTGTTTCTTTTCGAAACATTAACATCCAAACTCATTAGAAATACGTACATAGTTCTATTGCAACCCAAAGGAAAGATATCCCAGGATTTAATTAATTAAACACCAAGCCATGAACACTATAGAGAGTGGAGGTATAGCTCCACCTTTCTTTACTTCGGCACTAGATGGAGCTGAGTGGCCAGCTGCACATCCCTGCCCCTCTATCTCCGGGGATTGAGCCCTCGGTACTAATTGTGTAGAAGGTTCAGTGGGCCCTACAGCCGGCCTGAAAGTTATGAAGAAAAGAAAAGCCTCTTGTCCCCTACATCGGCCATCTAACTTGTAGCCTGGATTCTGTACCGACTAACCTACTCCGGCTCCTTCCGAAGAAGAGGTACGCAGAGTACACAGATCCTGTTATAAATTAATGAGAAGTACTATTATTTTAATATTATAGACTATATAGGTTGAATACATTAATAGCATGGCACAACAAATGCTTGTCGATAACAGTGGCCGCGCGGACTAAAGCAGGAACCATCTTCGCCCACTCGAACACTGAGGTCTTGTGTTAGAATCCCACTCGAGGCATGGATGTCTGTGTGCATTTATTCTGTGTACAGGTAGTGGCCTTCCAATGGGCTGCTCCCCCGTCCAAGGAGTCCTAATGACTGTGTGTATATTAAGAAAGAGGAAAATCGGCCAAGGTCCAAAGGGTAGTAAAGCCACAGAGATAGAAAAAGGAAGAAGAAGCAAATGATAAATTACAACTGCTCATTTACTTAATGAGAGAAGTGTGCCTGCTTTTTTTTTTTTTTTGTAATATTCTCCAAGTTCGAAACACGTTCCGAATTCTACAAGCGCACAATCTGCGCTTTTCCTTTGTTCTAAATACGTCACGTGAGGGGCAGCGACAATAGGTGCTCTGCTTAACTAGCGGTCATTTTCTTTTATTTTCACGCAAAATTATGATGAAAATCACTTCTAAGTTGAATAAAACGCTCAGATGCAAAATAATACAAACTTCTGGGTTGTAACTCGTTGTAGTTTGGAGTGAGCCCGATGTTTCAAAGAAAAATATCGCTTCCATCTTCAGAGTCGAAGAGTAACACCTACTAAATTGTACTATTCATAGTCACCACACAAAGAACCGCAAATCCAATAAAAGTTGCAGAATTTCGGTCATAATAGGCAGTTTGGAAAACATTGGTTTTTGTTGTGGGGTACAGGCGAGCATTCATGTTGTATGTATGTATGAGGGGTAGGCCTTCTCGGCCCTTGCACCGCGACCTACAGTGGTCTTGTGCTTGAGCATTCATGTTAGTTAAGTCCGTGTTCACTTCAAATGTTTGTTTCACATGGTATTAATCAACATTGTTCCTTGAACTGGGAATGTTTGCACACAAGTTACAAACCAAACAGCTTTCCATTATTTTAATACAGAACTGTTTATTTACCATATAAATAAGAAAGAGTAATGTTTACCGGAGTGAGAAGATGTGTAAGGCCACTGAATAATTAAATACAAAATAAAAGTTTTGTAAAGTAGGTCTATATTATTTCAAGACAGTTTAACCTGCAGATGTAGGATGAGCAAACGTATACTAAACGTAATCATTATCAATTACATTACTTCCGGTAACATATTCCCGTGACCTATCGCGCAGAGATTTCTTCTTTAATTTTATTGGTTCTTTCACATTCAAAATTCCTTAAATTTAAGACCACAAATATCATAGCAATACACTTCCTTTATATGAAAATATTTTTTTTTTGCAATTATGTCATTTTAGACACAAGAAGTCTGTCTTCCAATAAAAATTATTGTAATAATACATCGCCTCTGTGGTCAAGTGGTAAGAGTTCCTGGCTACAGATACAGAGGTTCAGGTTTCGATTCCCGGCGCTACCAGATTTTCTGAGAAGTAGTGGGTCTGGAAGGTGGTCCACTAAGTCTCGTGAGGATAGTTGAGTAACTATTTCAAGGAAATAACGGCTCCGGTTTAGAAAACCGAGATTAGCGGCCGTGGGGATCCCTTGCGCTGACCACGTGACACGCTCTATCCGCTAAAGTTGGCACTAACTTCGCCGACAAGCGGCGGTCGCTCGGTCGGTATAGTTTGCTTGCGGATTATAGGCCACGGAGTCTGTCACACAGTCGAGACATGATCATTCTCCGACTCTCATACCCTACTCATTTCTAACCGACGACTGGTTATAGTACAGTATTATTTAAAGGCAGCTTCGTATCATGCTGTGACATGGACAGCCATTTCCACGAAACATGTTTTCGTAGAGATTGATTCTTGGAAACCACGTCGGTGAGGAACATGTTTCCTTGGATACGAGTGGATACCAATAAAAGGCCGTTCATATCAGAATGAAGTCAGCCGTAAATCAGACGTCATAGTTCAAGCCAGTCATATTTCAGAGAAGAACAGGGAGAGACCGGAATGGAGCCAGTCAGGATGGAGCTAGTCCTAGGCAGTCATTTATTATGAGCTATTGTAAGTTATTGTGATTGCGAGTGATTGTACAAGAGAGTGTTAATAAATCCAATCATCCAATCCAAACCCCATTATTATTAGTCACGCAGCCATAAACACGTGATAATATGTTACTTGAAATCTAGAATGGCCCTTCGGTATGATATTATTTTAATAAAACGATCTTTGTAATCTTTGATTCACATTTCTGATCTACGGAGCGAGAATACGGCTAATGGATTTTCCCAGTCCATTTGCAAATTCAACCAGGAACACGGTAGGTATAGGAGAAAGTCTCAGCTCTCAGTTAAAGAACAAAATACTTGTCCTCTTGCATTACCATTTTTTATTGCTAGTGGGGTGGGACTAAGTCCCTTGTACTGCGGTCACTTCTGGCCTATTGTACCAGCCCCAGATGATAGGTGACGGTGATTGTGGAGCAATTGGTCGAGTGAAGATTGGCAGGGGAAACCGAAGTACTCTGAGAAAACGTGCCGCAGCGCCACGTTGTCCACCACAAATCCCACTTGACCAGACCCGGGATCGAATCCGGGCCGCCGCGGTGGGAAGCCAGGGGCTAACCGCTTGAGCTATGGCGCGGCCTCCATTACCCTTTACTCTCATTCGAGTCAAGGGAGCCAATGTTTAATTGCGCACACAAATACGTCTGTGGGATCTGAGATTCTACTGCGATAATTTTCGGTGGGAGTCCTGAAAATTGAGGCAAAGAATTACACTTAAACATCGCTAAAATTTGACCAGACTACACGTCGTTATATCACAGAAGCCAATAATCTTCATCCCAATATCTTATCTCCAGCATCCTCTAACAATTTTTAAATCGTTGACAGCAGGAAATGTTGTCTCTTGCTCCTGCAAGCAAATTTCGGCAGCCCGGCAAACATGGCATGCCCTGACACCGGGGTGTGGATATGCCTACAGTGACGTGCAATATTTTGGGAGAATGAAGTATTTCAAGTTAAAATTGAGGGCAGGCTTTTTTACATTCTCTCGACCTGAGGGAAGAATACGGCTGGGGGAATCTTGAGAACAGAACAACGAGAAGAATATTGGACCGTAGGTGGGAGGACGTAACAGGGGGCTGGAAATGACTGCATAAAGTGGAGCTTCGTAACTTGTGATCGTCATCAGATATTATTAAAATGGTAATGTGAGAGAGACTGAGGGGGGCTCTAGCAAGCTTGGGAGAGATGGAACAATATTTAATGGAAGACAAGCATAGAATAGATGTGAAGATAATATTAAAAT